TTTGCACTCGAGCATTCATTGCTGGACAAAGCTCTTCCTCTAGACTTTTGATGATCATTCGATAGCTCAAAGCTCGACAATTTTATTGCGCTGTCACAACTAGAAGAAAATTCCATTTACACACTCGACGCGCTTTCTTTGGTGTTGTTTGCAGATGGCATTTCGCGGCTCGTAATGCGCAATCGATCCCACCAAATGCCGGTGCAAAGAATGCGCATCGAATATGAAATTTACGCTTCTTTTTGTCGCCATAGGACAGTAAGAAATCTTTTTCAGAAACTAAGTGTAGCAATCGAAGTGTCGAGATCCATGGTATTGAATGTTCATTGGAATTTTATGGGAAAAAGCTCTCCCTAGAAAAAATTTTAGAATGTAATACATAACTTTGTTTTCACTGCGGCAAAGCAATGAAGGGAACATCATAAAGGAGTAATACGCCATTAGAATTCCCGCTGCGAAAATGTTTTTGAAACCCTAGAGCTAAGCAGGAAACACATTTTTCTCATGGAGTCGAAATAGAATGCGAATAACGAGAAATGATCTGCTTATTCATTGTTAGTGATAAGTCTAGCATATCCACAGCATTATCTCGCCGTTAGAATAAACACAGGTTGAGAGTAACTCACATTCACAGAAATTATCTGTTTTCTCAAACTCTGTGTAATTTTCGTGGCTTCTATACAATAAGTAACTTTGTTGAGGCTATTTTGAAGAAAAACCAAACTTGTTGCGACTTTGTAGTGTGATTTCAGATCGGGAAACAAGGACATTTGCAATTATGATAGAGTTGAGTCATCAATCACGGGGTGATAGAGTTGAGTCAGACAATTCTTCATTAACACTAAAACTCAAGCTGAAGTTCTGTTGCAAATAGATAGAAGCTGACACTGCAGTTCACATGCCGCATGGACTGCATATCATGTAGACTGGTATGTTAATATTGGTAGAACTAAAATTGCATTGAAGTGATAATAGGTAAGCAAGTGCAATTTGTTAAGTGACTCAATCTCCTCTGTATCAACGAACAATTGACACCAAATGTAGATAAGAAGATTTGCACGGACTATATGCGTATCCTAGCTCTGTTGTGCAAGCATATGCTATTTGTAAGCTTTTTTCAAAGCACTTTCATGTTCTCTTCCGTTATTCCGGAGGAGAGGTGGGGAGGGAGGGCGGGGGGTGGGGGGCAAATAAGGAAAAAAAACCCTTTTCTGAGCATGAACTTTTGAAAGGAGTGTTAGTAATCATTCGTAGCTAAAACTTTTTAGGCAATGCTAAATGACATTTTTTTAAAAGACTTCTTTATAGCGTTACGGCACCAAAAATAATAAAAAATTCACACGTGCCCCCTCTGCATTATTATGACACTTATATTTCGCCGGACGAAAATTGTTTAGAAGTTCAGATAACTGTTAGATAGCTTAAGTCTGAAAAATCCAGAAATATGTTAACCTTCCGTAAAGCATTATTTTATTGGGCCAAACGCGAAGGTTCTATAACAATGTCTATTCAAACAACTGATGTTTCGGCACTTTCGCCCTCTTCAGAGCCTTGAAAGATCAGGTTGTCTACAATTCACCTGTGACATACCGATAAGTGGCTCTCTTTTCTCAGCGTGCAAATACGTACTATCCGTATCGGCTACTATACGAAAAGGTACCGAAAGCCAAGTATTGGGAATATCGTGGTTCATCACCTTTCGTCTTATCCTCCACAATCGCTCTAGTAACATACATGTTTCGAGTAGCCGCTGCTGTGTGTACTGAGAGAGAACAGAGGGTAGAATCTCAAAACTGGCTCGGGAAACTGCCACTTCTCATGGATGCGAAATTGTAATCCCATCGGCTTAGCTTAGAGAAAGCAACACTATTTTGTACGAAAATTCGAATGAAGGGAAAATCCCGCTTATTTTTCCGCACTTTTCAAATGAGATAAGTGAAGGATGAAGCTCTCGGCGTTGATCAGTCCCTGAGGGATGTGCCATGCATTCGACTTCAATTTTTAACTTCGTTTGAGGTGATTGAATGCACATCATGGCCTTTACAATGACTCGCGGTGGCCTCCCGCTGAACCGAGTCAGTGCTGCTTATCCTCCCAGACAAGTCTGAGACCTGTCTGGTACCAATTTACCGACCCCGGAAGGATGGATGGCTTGGTGAGCCATGAGCGCGAGATCGAACCATTGACCTCGTGTGCGACGCAGGGCACCTCTAACCACTGCTCCACATGCGCTCCAAATGAGATAAGTACACCTATAAAATTACATGCTTTCATGATTACTGTAAAGATTCCTCTAGATCGCCTTCAAGCCAAGAGATGTTTCAGATGCATATCTTTCAGAAAGGAAACTTCCATTGGAAGGGCAGTATCTAAATCAACATGGCAAAAAGTAATCCTCGATGCCCGGTAGTGATGTTTAGGGGAGTTTATTAAACGGTGAACACATTTTACTACGAAGGTGTCTTAAACTGCAGTCGTACCAAACAAAAAATTACTGAAGTGCTCAAGAAGGTCTATTTTCAAAAAGGCAGATATTTTGCAGATTATATGAGTGTCTTATTTTCTATCGAAAAACATTTCGTTAAAGAAGTTTTTCATAAGAAAGTGTTGCTCATTCAGAAAAAGCCAAACAGTTTGGATGTTATGGGCGTTCCTGTATAGTTATTCATTAAGCCCAACTTCTAAATTATCATGTAGTATTTGAGTGCCAGGTTGAACAGTTGCTCCAAAATCATCTCGACCTCTGCTTGACCATCTCGAGTTTGAGAGATTTTTGAGCAGCATTTGACCTACTCAAATGTGAACACTAATTGCAATTCCAATGCAGACATTTCGTCTGATGTGTGGTGTTTTCATCGGTTCGATAAGGAAAATTGATCAGAGAGTGTTCAAAACATCACAAAAATAACCGAGCTAATATAGATTTAGAAATTTAGTCAATATCAAAACGATTCACATTTGCCGACGATGAATACCCTCATTACGGCTCTCATTCTTCTTCACGCCCAGAGCACAGTGCGCCTAGCTAACAGACAAATGCGAAGCTTATTTGAGACTCGATTTATTTTTCCGATACACTACAGTGAAGCTATTTTTCAGAACATAATCATAGCGTTATAGTCGTCGAAACTTACGCTATTGAATGGATAGTCATAACCTGAGGAAAGAGTTTATCTTGCGATAAATATGTGGGTGTGGAACGCAAATATTTTCTTCCTGCTACAGCATCATAAAAAGTTTGTTTTCAAAAAAGGCCACTAAGCGCAGTAACCAAAGATTCAAGCTTTCCAATGCTTACCAACATTCTATACAAAGTTTATAGAAGAAGGGTGAATGAAAGTTATAGAGTTTTAAAAAGACGGTCCGTCTGGGTTTTTATGTAAGTAAGTGTAGAAAATTCTTGTCTAGAAAAAACGATCGGTTTCGTCTCGTGCCGCTCAACAGAAAGGACTCAAAGTTTATTAATCATATATTCTTGTCAAAGTTATGATAGCGTTTCACCGAGTAGATTGCGGGTTAATTTGTCTTTTGGAAAACGTAACGGTGGCGAAAGCGCTGAAGCGCTAGCGATTATTATTATTAATGCACTATATCCTTTAGAACGAATTGCATGTAGTGTGCGCATCAAGTAATTACAGAATTGCCCATCCTATATTTGCTATAAAAAACGTTACAATGAGTGTTCGTGAATTCATAGCTTAATATAGCAGCAGTCATTCAACCGACGAATGAACAGTGCTAGAATGTTTTAGAGAATCACATACAATGTGTGAGGAATACACAAGTGCCATTGCCGCTCATATATTCCGTTTTGCTATCCTCTAAATGTTATCTGCCCTCCTACATAATGGACTGCCTTCTAGTACCGTAGCTAATGGAATTGTTGCCTACATTTCACCTAAGTGAGGTGATAGAAAGGGTGGTTTACACTAGCATTAATGCTGATGATGAGTGGTTTGACACATCAGAGGTATAGGCAAAATGGACGAAGTGTGTTTATTTTATGTATTTGATTAATAGTTTTTTGTTGCCCAGTGCTCTTTATTCGGAAAAATAGCACTTCCACAGTCTATCGTAAACGAGTGTTCTGCGAAGCTTAGTTCGGTGTAAACTGCTTATCACGTTCAATTATTTGTAAAAGATCCTTTTCATGAGCTCAGTGATTGATAATATGGCTTTCAGTTTATTTATACAGGATGTGGGAGAAGTTCTGCATTTTCATTTTCTCAATTTTAGCATTGATATAATATTTTTATTAATGCTGATGACTTTATGTATCTCCTTGTTTGATTCTGCTCTGCAATCTGTTCTATTTATTTTTCATTACTTAGTATGGATGATAAAAGCCAACTAGTAGAAGTAGTCGAGCTGCACAAGATGCTCGCACCAGTTTCCATCGCAAATCCATTGCAAGCCCGTGTCAAAGATTCTTCAAGCGCATCTATGCTAACGTAGCGAGTACCCGAGAGTTCTTCACCAGTATGGACCACACGGAATAACCCACTGAGTTGAGATTCTTCGAGTTTCACGGCCAAATGTCCTTGCTTTCAAAACCTACAGACTGATATTGACAGATGGCAATCCTTGAGCGGGCAGAATGCGTAAATGCATCGCACCAAAGTATTGAGCATCTAAAACTCAAATAAGCCCCGAGAAACTTACTGCTGATAGCTGGCAGAGCTCATTATAATATTTCTCTTGATGAAGACAAACGCCGCTTTTTTCAGACGCAAACGCTGGTCAGACCATTACAGAGGCCTTACAATAACTATGGCCTGTGGTTTTTGTTACTGACTTTTGCTGACCCTCCCTAGAAAGTTGACATCGATTGTGGCGACTGTGGAACGGCTAGGTTTTGACACGCACCTAGAACAGATACAGCGGAAACCTGTGCAAGCATATAGCACAACAAAATGAAAATTAGTATTTGTTTTATTTAACCGCTTGATGCGTTGGTATGTTACAATAAATCCAATAATGTAGAGTGGTGTGCAAAACATTTCATCAACTGGGATTTAAACCCAGATCTCACTCTTTCCGGAAGTGTGTGCTGAACCGCTGCATTACCGACGCCCGCTTTGACATTACTTTTCTACGCTACAACGCTCTATCTATCAACAGCCAACCGTCTACGCTATGGCATAGGCAGTCACTATCGACATTGAACCCACTCATACTGGCAGGTATTGAGTTTCAATAGTCAATGAGAATTCATTTTATATGACCGCTATTGCGGTGGTATGATTTACAATAAACCGAATAATGAGTGGTGTTAAAACGGGCTGCGATAGTGCAACGGTTCAGTAAGCGCTCCTGTAAAGAGTGATATCTCGGTTTGAATCAGCTGACGAAAATAAAAATTGGCAAAACTTTTTCTGCACCCTGTAATGTTTTCTATTCGTTAGAAAGAATTACGTTAATTACATGGAACGAACGGCTATAAAAATATTGGGGCTAAACACATCATGATTTATGAAATTTTTCCAAACACTGACAAGGGTGTGGTTGTATCGGGAAGATTTTTACATCAGGACGCAAAAAGTTCCATAGATACAATGGCATGATAAGTATCCCTCATCGCAAAAGTAACCATCCCTCCATACGCATTGTTATTTTCAACGCCTTAGGCTCCTCTAGTTATTGAAAGTACTATTTCTATTTGAAAATCGGCGAGTGTTATCCAGATCAAAGCTTATGCCATGAGAGATTAAATATATATACATATATGATATATATATATATATGAGATAATATATACACATATATGAGATAATAGCCCATAGCTGACCTTCACTCCTGAGCCTACGCCGTAGCAATACGTCAACAGTCGTAGTGCAAGAAAAAATGTTTTACTATACCGAAACTATGTGGTAAAGTTTTTCTTTTACAACGTCCGTTTTACAATAGCTAATCCATTTGGGTAACGGTCTCCTGCCTATTTAAGCTTCCATTGCATATGGTCTGGCACAGGTTTCTAAAGAAACAAGCAAAATAAGTTGCATCAATTTACGAATTTACGAATTTACTCATATTCAAAGTTGTTTAATGTGAAATATGTTAGTGTGAAAAGATGAAAGAACTAAAATGCAAATGTATTTATTAGAACTTCAACTAGGATGCTGTTCTATTGCAAAAACTCTTGTAGGCGCAAGTGTCATTGCATGTGCCGCATGGTTCGCCCCTCTGTGTATATTGGATTGTTGAGTTGAATACGTCTGAAGCTGCATAGAAGTCAACCACTGTTGTAAAATTTTTTTGAACGATTGACTTGCGGCGTCCCATATGCACGAGTGAATACTACGGATGATGAATAAAGATCAGAACCATCTCTGCTGGAATTGCATACGCTATATGCACATCCTGTTTTCGTCGTATTAGGCCATCTAAAAGCATTTTTTTTAGGGTTTTTGCACTAACTGCTATTTCCAGTCTTTGAAAGCTGAGCTGAGTCGTCCTAGAGCGCCGTCCGCTAGCTCATAGACAGTCAGTTATCTCACAACATAGTAAGATATGTCACACAAGACCGCAGACCGCTGTCAAAAACCAACTAAGGCTCTAACGAAGGCGTCGTCATTGAAACGTTAGCCAGCGAGTTTTGAAGAACAGGAAGAAAATACCAACCTACGCAAGTTGTAAATAAAGAAGACTACAGTTTGTGAGAAATTTTATGACATAACCTTATGTGCTATGACATATGTGGCAGCCTCTGCCATGACAGCCGATCATGAAGATATCTATCCTCATATCTCGCAATCATTATTTGAGCCAGCATCTCATTTGGTACGGTAAATGGGCTGAATTATACAAACCGATACACGTGTTTCGACCTTGACAATCTCATCAGTCAGGAGGCTTCCTTCGTCTCTGACCGAACTTCTCGGGACGCTCAGTACCCTATACTAAGAGTAGGCGAACACGAACTTTTTACACTGTTTATCAAGTGCAATTATCACTAAATAGATAGTGTTGTACACTCGACTACTCTTGGGTGGTATGGTCAGTATATCATATCCTTCGTTTAAGTGTTTCTTAAGACCAAGTTCAAATTTCACATATCTCAATTGTTATTTAAGCCAACATATCATGGGGTTTGGTAAATGGCTGACTCATAGAGCGCGAAACACGTGTTGCGACCTTGACGGTCTTATCAGTCGGGCGGTATCATTCCGTGATATTTTCTCTCGGTAGACAGTACAAAATATTCCTCATCGCCTACTCTCAATGTAGAGGACTGAGCGCCCCGGGAGGATTGAGTGAAGACGAAGGGTACTGCCCGACTGATGATAGCGTCAAGGTCGAAACACGTGTACCGGGCTCTATAAGTCAGCCCGTTTGATAGACCACGTGGTATGCTAACTCAAATAATAATTGCGAGATATGTTTTAATCTGGCGACAATCTACAGATCACAATATGAAACTCGCGCCAGCTGCCATGCTAGAATGAAACCACCGCCATGAATGACAATCACGAGAAGACGAGACGAATAGAAGATGTGTTGGGGTCCACAGAATTTGTGAAGGCGGACCGGAAAACTATCCAAATCAAAGTAAGTAGGTTGAAATTTGAGCGCGTTTTGAGAAAACACTCGACAAAAGGTATGATATACTGACGATCTATCGTCTTGATCATTTGGCAAATCCTAGTATACTATCACAACCAACCTGAAGGAATGGAATCATTCCATTGTTGCTTCCTGTTGGTGTCGATTGACGAGATGGAAGCCTAGCATTGAAGTGTTCCACCAAAGACCCATCAGCTATAATATGTGTAATCGAGTTGCCTATAGTATATGCATTATTTTGAAAAAGGAAAAGAATTATGGGAATTCTTTGGATTTAATCATCGACTAGAAATTAAAGCGCTGAAAGAAGAGCTCTGGGCTGCGAGAGAAATTTGAGTGAGAAGTAGAATTTTATTTTGCTCTTTCGGCACAATAATAAAGCCTTTTCATAAAATACAATGGTTTGTTCAGATTTTCTCGATTTAAGTTGTTGGATGATTATTTGAACATAGAAAAGGGCCTAGAAAAAATGTGTTTGAAATTACCTCAAACGAAGCTAAAAATTGAAGCCATATGCTTGACAAATCTCTTAGGAAACGGTAATGCCGAGAACTTCCCCTTTTAGAGCTTACGATATTTCTACCTAATTCATTGCACCACAGAAGTTTGCTCTCCAAACTGCTCATAATTCAGAGCGATTTTCTTAGCTTTCATTTAAATCATTTCACTAATCGCTCAATGGCTGTATCATGATTCCACGTGTTTAGCAAGATTCAGATCCTTCATCTTGGAAAATATGCAATGATGTTTTCCGAGAATGAAATGCATGGAAAGTGTGGTTCCATGTAAAAGAATTTTGGGCCATAATTAACCCCTCAGGGACTACGTGTACCAGCTAAGGTACACGATTGTTTGAAGACCTTTCTTGCTGCAGAAAGGTCTACTCTTAGATAGTTGGTAATTACTAGAAAGCCTAAATCTCTGCGATTCCATCGATATACCTAATTTCTAGAAGAGCCTTTTCATTACGTTGCAACAATAAAAAAGATAGTATGTCACGCTCAATTTTCTTTATTTGCTCGGTTGAGGCTTCGATATGGTTCTCCTCTTTCGTTTCTTGCTCACGCAACTGTCGTCCATGGTACTAGTCTGCTTCGAGCATGGTAACGTACACGAGGCTTATTTTCCGAATCCAAATTCGTCATCATCTGCGGATGCAGATGGTTACGTTGGCCACCAATACGTTATTCCATCTTTTGAGTGGTAATCCATGGTAGTGATTGGATTTTGAGTGGTACGCATACTTCTTGACGAGGTTGTAAGAAAGCCCCATGTCTCTGCCGTGTAACTGAGCTCTGAGGGGACCATGACCATTGAATCAACAATATAAGCATATAATTTGAGGCCTGCTGTTTGGTCGTTGGCTTCCTTGGAGGGTACGAATGCTGCTAGGTTGTTTTCCTTTTCTTACTTAGTTCCACCTTCACATCGCTTGTGTTGGTTTATCTGTGAAGGGTGTTTTGATTAGTTTAGTTTTACCGGTAATTGTAGAAGAGTAGTCAGGCTTTGTTGTCTTTTTTGAGTGGGTGTATCTTGTTAACCGTAAGGGTCACTCGATCGTCTTAATTATTCCTGTCACGATGGTCTTTTACTATTTATTTGATGAAGGACAGTGATGATCCTAAAACCATACTTATCGCTGTAACGAACTGCTGACAATAAATAACAGATAACAATTACAACATAACTGCAATTGAGGAAACAACAATCACGACATGCAACGCAATGTTAACAGTTCACAATAGTGCACTAGATGTGAGCCTAAATGTAAGATGCCCGAACCCCTGATCTCTAAATCAACCAGAGGAGCTGACACATTGTAAAGAGCAGTGCTATTCACATAGTATTTATACAGCGACATGAACTACATTACATCATGACCGTGATAATCTAGCGCCCAAAGAAGTGGAAATTACGGCCTAGGTCCAAGTATCGTCTGTAGACGAATGGAACTGCTAGGCGTGGAGACTCTTTTCCAAGATTCTGCCTCGGTTTAACTGTGAATAGCTGTTTAGCACAGCACTGCCCAAATTCTATCGGAAACATCTCATGATTGAGCCAGTTGAGTGGCACAAGTGTTTGTGTCGCACGAACTCTCGGCCGGCAGGTTTTTGAAGCATAGACTGGTTATTGATGCGCGAATGCATCGGCCAGTTGGTGTAAGAACCACGACCCGGTTATTTGACTCACTGCGCAACGAGCAACCATAGTGATTATCTGTAATAAGATACACTGATAGTGAACAGCACAAGAGATAAAAATCCTTGAGCATTGCCTCTGCCTCAGTGGTACTTTTCAGAAAAATGACGATGCCGTCCGCAAATCGAGAATTTGATAAAAACTTTCCGTCAGTCCGCATGCCTTCTTCGGCCCACTAGAGACACCTAATCATCCACTGCAGTGCGACGGTAAATAGCTTTGGTGATATAGTGTCGCTGTGTCAAACCCTCTTTTTCGATGGGTATGGTAGTGGATGGAGGTCGATGGAAAGGCCGCTTTTTGTGCCACAA